TGGAGCTGGACAGGAGAGCAGCCCTGGGGCTTCCCTGAGGCTGCTGATGCTGCTGGGGGCAGGGTTTGGCACTAAATGCCCTGATTGTTCCCTGCTGCTGCTGGGGGAAGTGAAGCCGGGCAGCATTGCTGGAAATGCGCCGCTCGTTTCCTTTCTGCTGCCGTTGCAGAGGTGACTCCTGACGCAGTCAGCTATTCATTCCTTTTGTTAGCACAGGGGCTCGTTCCTCCATCCATCCATCCATCCATCCATCCATCCATCCATCCATCCATCCATCCATCCATCCATCCATCCCTCCATCCATCCCTCCATCCATCATCCATCATCCCTGTGATGCAGCGAGGAACATGACCAGGAGAGGATAGAGGACTGACTGTCTTGGCAGAGGGAGGAAGCACAGGATGCTGGGTTTCCCCTTTGGACACTTCATGGATCACAGCCTGCCTTCCTCCAGGGCTGTGCTGGGTTTTGGTGTGGCTGGGTAGGTGTTTGAGCTCCTGGCACCGTTCTCTGTGTGTGTGTGAGGCTGCTCCCACCTCGCTCCTGCTGCACGCAAACCCTCTCTTGTGCAACTGGAGAAATGTTTCCCCTTTGTCCCATTCCCATACTTGCTGTGCAATCAGAATGCTCCCCCACCCAACAGAATCTGCACTTTGCCTTCTTGGCCTTCTCTCTCATTCCCAAACCTGTGTCTTCCCAGCACTCGAAGCTGCCAACTGGAGTTTTTTACTTTTTATTTTTAATTTCTCTGTTGATTTGAGTAGGCAGGGCTGGGTGTCAGCTTCCATCTGCCTCCCAGCTGGAAAGGGAAGCCTGAAGAGAAAGGGAGGGTGCTTTCAGCCTGTGTTCCCAAAGTCGATAGGGAAAGGCTGTGAGGACTGGGAGAAATTCAGGATTTTTTCTCTCCTCTACCCCCATTAGTAAAAACTTGTGCTTTTGGAGAAAAAAAAATAACATATTGCTGTAGTTCAGACAGTTAAACAAAACATAAATGTAAACCAAAGCAGTTAAATAATGATCTGGCTTTCAGTGCTGCATTTTGCCCAACACTGACACGTTGCCACAGACTCCTCCATAACAGGGTGAAAACTGCAAAATTTTGCTTTCCTAAATCATAAAATGGTTTGGAAGGGACCTTAAAGCTCATCCCATTCCACCCATGCCATGGGCAGGCACACCTTCCACTAGCCCAGGTTGTTCCAAGCCCTGTCCAACCTGGCCTTGGACATTTCCAGGGATCCAGGGGCAGCCACCCTGTGCCAGGGCCTTCCCACCCTCACAGGGAAGGATTTCTTCCACCTAACCCCACCCTCTGGCAGTGGGAAGCTATTTCCCCTTATCCAAAATCCTTCAGCTCTCTTGGAACCCCTTCAAGCCCTGGAAGGTGCTTTAAGGTCTCCCCCAGAATATTCTGAACAATCCCAGTTCTCCCAGCCTGTCTCATTTCAGTAAGTGATGGATCACCTGGACAGCTGCATCTCCAAGGAGTTGCTGGCCAGTGCAGCTGCAATCTGCCATCACATCTCTGGGATCACCTGCTTGGATTGGTGGCAGACACCAATTAATCACGGCAAGCAGGCAGCAGGCAGCAGCTCGACCTTCTGCTGATTCGATCTGAGGTTCCCAGCTCTGCTTTGCTCTGGTCTAGGCAGGTGGTTTTGCATCGTGCAGAGTTTTAATGCCTGAGCACCAAACAAAATCCAGTTTTTGTAGCTAAAAGGGAATTGGCCCTGGCTCTCCTGTGAGGAAAGTGCTCCTAGAAAATGACACCTGAAAGGAGGAACCCAGAGAGGGCAGCGAGGGCTCTGCCCTGGGCCAAGTGCAGGACAGGGGAGGTTGCCTGTGACTCTTGGACTGGCAGCAGCTTTGTGGTTCCAGGTGCTGGCTGGTATTTTTGGAGAGCTGAGGAAGACTTTGCACTTTTTGATGTTATTTTCTGGCACACCAAGTAAGGCAAAACCACTCCACTTGCTTTTTTGGCCAAGTGATCAGAGTGCTGCTAGAGTGCCTTTAGTTTTGTTTTTGGTTTTTGGTTTTTTTTTTTCTCCCTAGGATTTTCAGAGCCTGATTTAGCCAAGTTCTTCAGTCCCTGCTTATTTTTAAACCTAATCCTGTCACTCTCTGACATCACTGTGTTTCAATCCCACCAACATCCATGGACTTGGGCAAGGACTCAGAATTCAAGCAGATGCTGAAACACTTTGCTCACCAACAGCTGTGAATTTGGGAGGACCTCACCCAGGGAGAGCCGGGGTCAGGAAGGGAGATGAGACAATTTACATCGCACCCTTTCCACCCATGGGTAATACATTGATATTTTCTGAAAAATCCCTTTGCTTAGGCTTTTTCTTCTGGGAAGTTGAGAAGCTTCAGAGAAAAAGGAAAACAATAATTATCTCATTTGTTTTTCCTGTGTTTTAATTTTTTAGAATGTGTTTAAAAATTATTTACTAACAGGTGATTGTTTTATTGGTTTCTGCTGTGAGTTGTTTTTACTCATTGGCCAATCAGTGCCAAGCTGTGTCAGAGCTCTAAAAAAAGTCATGAATTTTCATTATTATCTTGTTAGCTTTCTGTAAATATCCTTTCTGTATAGTTTAGTATTCTTTACTATAATATATTATCATAAAATAATAAATGAGCCTTCTGAGAACATAGAGTCAGACTCATCATTCCTTTCTGCCATGGGGGACCCCACAAATACAATACATGGGATGGTGGGAGACATCCCTGTGTTCTTGTTCCCTGGCACCCAAACCACAAAGGACCCCAAAGCCCATCCAGTGCCACCCTCTGCCATGGGCAGGGACACCTTCCAATATCCCAGGCTGCTCCAAGCCCCATCCAGACTGGTCTGGAACACTTCCAGGGATGGGGCAGCCACAGCTTTTCTGTGCCATGGCCTCATCACCCTCCCAGGGAAGATTTTTTCCCAATATCCCATCTAAACCTACTCTCAGTTTGAAGCCATTTCTCCTTGTCCTGTTAATTGCCTGTGGATATAGGATTATGTGTTTTTTGGGACCAGTTCAAGGGCTGAACTTGAGCCCTGTATCTTCCAAAAAGTCATGGTTCAGAGGTGTCAGCTCAGCTGCATGTGCTGGCTGGGCAGTGGCTCAGCCCTGCTGAGGTGATTTAGGAACTGTAGGTCAGTGTGAGCTCAGAGGGAGGGTTTGGGTGTTTTGGGAGCTGTCAGTGCTGCTGGCAGGGCTGGGCAGGTGGATGGACATCAATCCCAGCATATCCCTGGGACACACAGCCTGACTGACCCCCCTTTCCCTCAGAATGAGTGCTGCTGCTTCTAATAAAGGGATGGGACTATTTTTGGGCTGGGAACAATTTATTGCTCAGATAAACATCAGTCTCAGAGGCTGTGAGATTGTGAAGGAGCAGCAGTCAGCCATAGCTCGAGCAGTCACAAGTTTCTTCGTGACAAGGTAATGTTTAACTTTCTAAACTAACAGACAGTTGTCACAGGGTTTATTTTGGGTTTCTAAGCTATCACTTTTACTTGTTTCTACTGCACTGGGGATACTTTTATCTAATGGGATATTACCACATGTACACAGATATGCTTCTATTAAAACTTGTAAACTCTTAGTTACTCTATAAAATGACACCTCTACATTATAACCCTTCATCATCTTATCAATACAGTTTCCTACATTATAAATCCTTCACCATCTTATCAATACAATTTCTCACTCAAGGCATTTTCTTCCTTACAACTGTAGAAACATAAGTTTATCATTTTTCTGCTTAATGTCTGTGTATTGTATTTTCACATTAATCTTCTAAGTTTCTTCTAAGGTTTCAGATCAAACTCTTCCACAGTGTCTGTGGAACTTTCTATTTTTCTGATTCCTACACCATGCAGGAGCCATGCAAGGAAGGGGATTTACACCTGGAGTCAGTGACTCCCTGGCTTCTTGCTGCTTTTCCTTGGCATTAGTTTTTCTTGCCCTTGGGGAGGGAGCAGAGGTGAGATCTGCTGCCTCCCCTTGCCTTGTCTACCTCAATACTTTATTGTGGCAGGGAAAAACAAATGAAAATAAAAAACAACTACAGACACGCTGTTTTTTTTTTTTCCCCTCTTACATAATTTTTTATGCTTCTTCACATTTTAAAATATTTTTTTCTTTCCCTCCCCTTTTTTTATCCCCTTCTTTCATCATCTTTTCCCCTCCTCTCTCTTCTTCTGTATTTTTCTCTTTTTATCTTCTTTTTTTCTTTTCTCTCGTTTTTTCTCTTTTCCCTTTTTTCCTCTCCTTCTTCCTCTTTTTCTCTCATTTTTTCCTCCCTCTGATTTTCTTTTTCTCCTTTTTCTTTTTCCTCTTTTCTTCTGCTTTTGCTCTCCTTTTCCCTCTTTTTTCTCTCCTTTTTGCTCTTTTTCCTCCTCCTTTTTTCCTCATTTCTCTCTTTTTCTCTCCTCTCCTTTTTATGTCTCTTTTTCCTCTCTTTCTCTAATTTTTCTCTCCCTTTTCCCTCCCTATTGCTCTCCTTTTCATTTTCTCTTTCCCCCTTCCTTTTCCCTCATTTCTCTCTTTTCTCTCCCTTTTCCTTCTCTATTGCTCTCTTTCTCTCTACTTTTTCTCTCCCTTTTCCTTCTCTATTGCTCTTTCTCTCTCTTTTCCCTCTCTCTCTCTCTCCCTTTTCCCTCTCTCTTGCTCTCTTTTTCCCTCCCTTTTCCCTCTCTCTTGCTTTTTCCCTCCTTTTCATTTTCTCTCTTTCCCCCGCTTTTCCCTCTCCCTTTCCCCCCTGTTTTCCCCTCCGTGCCGGTATCACCCTTCTCCTACCCCGGCTGCCCGCACCCCTCGCTCCCATTCCCGGAGACCCGGCCGGGGCCGGGCCGGGGCCGCTCCGAGCCGGGGCTGGGCTGGGCTGATCTGGGGTTGGGCTGGGCTGGGCTGAGCTGATCTCCGGCCTTGCTGAACGCCTTTAGGGCCGTGCCGGGGCCGTGCCGCTGGGAGCCGGGCGGCCGGAGCCGCCCCCGGGAGGCGGGCTCCCCTCACGGCGGATATAAGGGCGCGGGCGGCGGCGCCGCGCTTACTCACTCCGGCAGCGCTGCTGTCAGGCCCCGAGGTAAGGGCGGCGCCGGGGGAGCCCCGCGGGGCTGCGGGACCCGGGCTCGCTCCCTCTGAGCGCTCGCAGCCTCCTCCGCGTCCCTCCGGGCTCGCACGGGGTGGGGGGAGCCTCTCCTGCGTGTCCCCACCCGGGTTTCCCGTGGCGGGAGGGTCTGCGGGAGCTTGGAGCGGCCGCCGCTCCCGTGTGGGTGCCCCTGCATGCCCAGGTGCGATCCTCGGCTCCGCTCCTTCCCCCGCGGTTGTTGTTTGTTTGCTCAGCTCGGAACTGCCGGGGAGTTTGAATGTGCCGGGCTCGGGCTCGCAAAGCCCCTTGCGGGCATGGGTGTCCTCTTGTGGTGGCCGCCTCCCCGTGCTGGGGATCCGGGATACGGGCAGGGTGAAGGTGTGCGGGTGACAGCCCGCTCGGCCATGCTGACTTTTCCTTCTCCCTTTGGGAAGGGCAGAGCGCAGCTTGCCCACAGCCCTGGGCAGTCGGCAGGCAGGTCTGAGTGCGGGCAGGAGCGGGCTGTGGGCTGCTCCCCCCATTGCTGCTCCCCCCATTGCTGAGGGCTCGGCCACTGCCCTGCCGTACCGGGCTGCTGGTGCTGGTTTGCTTTGTCACAGCCTGCGGGAGTGGGATGGGGAGGATTCAATCCTGCAGGCTGCATCTGCTCCAGGGACAGCTCTGGGGGTCTGGAGCAGGATTTTGGGTGCGTCTCCTTTCCTTCTTGTCCTGTAAACTAGCAGCGACTGGACTCAGCACATGTGCCTGCCAGGTGAAGGGGTGATGGCCTGCAGGAGTTTAGCAGTGTCGTGGACACAAATTACAGTCCCAGCTTCCTTTAGGAGTTTTTCGGATGCTGCGCTGTCTGCAGGGAGCGCTGAAGGTGTTTTTTTTAGGAGCACGGAGTGGCTTTATTGAGTTTGTCTGGTGGGTTCCCCCCGTGCCTCCCAGCTAATCTGGGTTGGGAGTGGGAGCTCGGGTTACAGCAGCTAATCCCAGACTACAGGCGGGTTCGTGGGGCTGTAATCTGTGAGCACAGCCCTCCTCCCCGGCGGGACTGGAGCCTGGGAGGCCGGCTCGGTGTCGGGTTTTTATTGCCGCGCTGGGGATGCGGAAGGCACAGGCAGATGGATGCACGTGTGTGCAGCAGCCGGGCTGGGATCGGCCCGAGCATCCTTCCTGCTCCCTAACATCCCCAGAGTGGCTCTGAGGCAGCAGCTGCGGTTGTGGTGGCCGTGGTTCCCCCAGCACTGGTGTGAGCCCCAGCCTCGGGGGCTCTCTGCTGCCCTGGTGCTGCCTCTCTGTCGGAATCTGACGCCCCTCAGCCAGGTTTGAGTTTCTTCTCCATGAGGTATGTGCTGGAGCTGCGTGGTCACAGTCCTGTCCTGAAAAGGGGTCTTGGGATGTGGAGTGAGCCTGTTCCTCTTGTTTTAGACCATGTGCCTTTCCAGAGAAGCCCAGGCCCACCCATGCTACTTCTGTGGGTGTCAGGGGGGTAGCGGGGTGTGCTCCCCTTGCTGGCCCCAAATACCAGCAGGAGCTGCCTTTGCTTTGGGGCTGGAAGTTTTGTGGCTTTTAGGGAGTTTGCTTTAATTGCTGAAGAGTTTTGAGGTACAGGAACTTGGAAATAGTGCTGTTTCTCCTGTGTGTGAGAGGAGTGGAAAGTGTTTGTGCTGGGGACCCTGGGTGAGGTCTGGCAGGAGCCCCATCCTTGTGTCCCACTTGCAGCCCTCGGGTGAAGTGAACATCCAGGGGAAGCATCCACCCCTGCTGCCTACAAGCCCCTCTGCCCTTCACAGTGTGGGTTAAATCACTCTCTGCTTTCCCGAGGTGAGCACAGGATCGGCTATCCCAGGATGGAGAGCTGCCCCTGGCTCAGCTCCCTCTTTAGCCAGTGTTTGAGTAAAAGCCGTGCTTAATTTGGTTTGAGTCTCGGCTCCGTCTTTCATCAGGCCAGCAGGATGAAAGGCATAGGCCAGATCTCCTCACGGGTCAATTTGGGCCTGTTTGTGGAGAGATTTGATCTCCCCTGAATGTGTGCAGGGCCCCCCTCATTGTTAGTGCCACCAGCTTCCCCTCGGCTGGGACAATAGTGCCTTGAGTCCTCTCGGGTAATCTCCCCCCTTATCTCCCTTCTCTTCCTGAGCCTCTGTCCCTGACAGGCAGGAGGGTGGGAGCTTTGGGAAGAGCTGATTATGCAGATGGAGAGGTGCTGTGTCTCCCTTTTTGGGGAGAGGGGGTGAGGAGAGGGTATTCAACACATCCAAGCTCTTCCCTGCTTACCCCTCACTCTGTGCTCCTGGAAACCCTACCAAGAGATCCTGTGGTGGGGTCAGGGATATTTGGAGATCCCCATTGCTCTCTGGTCACTTGGCCACCCTGGCTTTGCCCCAGGCTGGTCCCTGGTGGGGTCATGGGGAAGAGCAAGGTGACCATTGTTGGGGATGCTGGATGTGTCCATGGGTGGGCTGGCTGACCTGATGGGCCAGCTCAAGTGGAGCCATGAGGGAACAAGGATCCATCCCTTGGGAACTGCTTTATTTTGGCACGTCCCAGGCTGGATCCTGCACTCCAGAAGCGGCCTGGCCATCGTGGGCACAGGCCTGTGGGTGGTACTGAGGGTCCTGTGAGGGTGCCAGGGGAGGGGGACAGCATTTTTATACCTCCCCAAAACCACAAGGGCATTTATCAGCCCACTTGGGGTTTTGTGTGAGCCATTAAGGGCCTTTTCTTTCTGCTGGTGAGGAAGTTAACAAGTTGCTTTGTCCACTGCCTGCAGGTAGAAGAAAGCACTGAAGAGGCAGCAAAAGTAGATATAGAAAAGCAAAAGGGTGGAAAGGAGGCAGTTGTGGAGCCAACTTTTGGGGGAGTGTTTTGAAATCAAAGCACTCTTCTAAAAAGAAAACTTAAGACCAGCAGATCTATTCAGCAGTCAAGCTCTGAGGTTTTTTTTCTCTTCTCAACGCTGCGTAATGATTGTTAAATGCAGGGGATACTTTGTAAAATAGAAAAGAGGGAGGGAGGACAGAGCAGAATTTAAATTGAAGTTTGGATAGGAGTACAAAGCCCTTTAGTTCCCCACTTCTCCTTTATACATCTGTATGACTTGATGAGATGCTGACCAGAGCCTGTGGTAAATGTTTTACGGTACCATGTATCAGCCAGATCAATTCTACTGTGCTTGAGGGAGTGCAGATGAAATGGCTTAAAGGTTCCCCTGCTGAAAGCGATACGAGCATCATTTCTGCTGGAGGAGACAGATTTAGTCGCCTCACATTTATTTGGCCACGGTGTACTTTGCAGATTTCACACCCAGGGACGATAGCCAACCTGATGATGTCAGATGTGAGCTGGAAGAGAGGGGAAAAAATCACACAAAATCTGGTGCTTGCTCCTCTTTTGTCAAGCAGATAAGTTTTGCTGAGTGTCTTGGTTGTTTTGCTCCATGGAGTGCTCTGATGGAAGGTGCCTGGCAAGAGCAGGCTGTTACTAAAGCGGCGCGTCCCGGTATGACACGGCAGCAGAAATAGCTCCGTAATTTACGTCATTTCTTTCAATCCTGTTTTGCCTTTAGGTCATTTGAATTCCAACCCGAGCGACCATGAGCGCGCTTGACTTGACTTCCATCCTGGATTTCCTGGAGACGGCCAACCTGACGGAGATCAACTGGACGTGCAGCAGCGGCGAGTGCATCACGGTGGATGCCACGACATGCCCTGGCACGCTCAACAAGAGCGCCCTGCTCTACACCCTGTCCTTCTTCTACATCTTCATCTTTGTCATAGGCCTGGTGGCCAACTCGGTGGTGGTGTGGGTCAACCTGCAGGCCAAAATGACGGGCTATGAGACCCACCTGTACATCTTCAACCTGGCCATCGCCGACCTGTGTGTCGTCATCACCCTGCCCGTGTGGGTTGTCTCGCTCGTCCAGCACAACCAGTGGCACATGGGGGAAATCACGTGCAAGATAACCCACCTGATATTTTCCATCAACTTGTACAGCAGTATCTTCTTCCTGGCGTGCATGAGCGTGGACCGCTACCTCTCGGTCGCCTACTTCACCAACTCCAGCAGCCGCAAGAAGAAGATCATCCGCCGCTGCATCTGCGTCCTGGTGTGGCTCCTGGCCTTCTCCGCCTCCCTCCCGGACACCTATTACCTCAAGACTGTCTCTTCCAACAGCGAGACCTACTGCAGGCCTGTTTACCCTGAGGAGAGCTTCAAGGAGTGGCTGATTGGCATGGAGCTCATCTCTGTGGTGCTGGGCTTCCTCATCCCCTTTCCCGTCATCGCCGTGTTTTATTTCCTCCTGGCCAAGAGCATCTCCACCTCCAGCGACCAGGAGCGCAAGAGCAACGGGAAGATCATCTTCTCCTACGTGGTGGTGTTCCTGGTGTGCTGGCTGCCCTACCACGTGGCCGTCCTGCTGGACATCTTCTACAGCCTTCACTTCATCCCCATCAGCTGCCAGATGGAGAACTTCCTCTACGCCACCCTCCACATCACTCAGTGCTTCTCGCTGGTGCACTGCTGCGTCAACCCCATCCTGTACAGCTTCATCAACCGCAACTACAGATACGAGCTGATGAAAGCCTTCATCTTCAAGTACTCTGCCAAAACTGGCCTCACCAAACTCATCGACGCCTCCAGAGTGTCAGAAGCAGAATACTCAGCTCTGGAGCAAAATGCCAAATGACTGCAAGCCCAGAAAGGAATTTCCTTGACTCTCTGACCTGATGTGTTTGGGGGTTTTTTTTTGTGCATTACGGTTTGTTGTTTATTTTTATTTTGTTTTACCCCTTCCTTTCAATGTGCTTGTTACAAACGCGGCGTGAATTCCAGCCTACAAAAGAGAGAGGACAAAGTGTAATTTAAGAGTAGGATCAGTTGCAAAGTGGAAGTGGTACCAAAATGAAAGCCTTTTCTCCTCCTAGCCCAGTGTGGAATCCTCAACAATGCTATGCAAGTGGAAATTATTTCCTAGCAGACAAAGCCATTGTGTACCATAGATAACATGGATAAGCTTCTCCTTCCACGTCTTGATTCCCTCGTCTCCTTGTGTATGTTTATATATATAGTGTGTTGTATTTAAAAGCTCAAGACTTTATTTTCTGCCCCTTGGTGTACCTTATACAAGTGTATTTGAAAGTTAAATATATTTTTATCATGTATTTGAAGTATATTGTTGATGAGTGTATCCAGAGTGCTGTAGTCTGAGTGTTAGGTGGCCGTTTGGCTCCAAGGGGATGCTGATAAATAAGATGGAAATGATCTCTTGGGAGCATCCTCCCTGGCTGGCACACTTTATGGACCATGGCTTTATGTGGTGTCACACCCACATGCTGGAGCATGAAATATATGTAGTGTAATATAGCTGCCATCATGTTAAAATTAACAGTATTGTCAGAGCCCTTAACTCCTACACCCCTGCTTCACCAGGCTGTATCCTCCTGCACAGAGTGAGTGATCTTACTGCTGAGAGTTGTCTCTATTTGTAAGTTATTTTTGTAAAATAAAGATCTGAGAAAAAGAAAACAAAACCTGTGCCTACCAGTGGTTTGACTTGCCGGCCTTCTCCTCAGGTTAAAAAAAACAAAGCCAAAAAGGAGGAATCAAGGCCACCTCAGTCCTTTGGTGCAGGAGCAGACAGGTCAGTCAGAGTTTTCCTGGTGTTTGATGGCCTGAAAGAACTGATGGAGGAATGGGAGATGGTACTGGAGCATGGTGAGCAGGGAGGGCTGGGAGGAGTGGGTCTGTGCTGGTGGGGAAGGTAAAAGTGATGGATTTATGAGGTAAAATATGCTAGGACTGCTGGAAAGCTGTGTTTGTAGCTTAGAAATAAACACAGGGAAGGAAAATACAGAAGTGTGCAGATGGAGCGGATATTTGGACTAATCCAGGTTCAGCCCTCTGTGGGTTTTGCTGGCTGTGGAATTGGGGGTTAGCAGCCCTGACAGCACTAAATCCCTTTTTATCTCTTCTTCCCTTTGGTGTGGATTTGCAGGGCCATAGTGTCTGAGTGGGGCAGGATCCAGGCACTGTGGGATGCCTCAAGTGGAGCTCTCAGCCAGCAAAGGAATCTTGGTGGTGTTCACCTCAGGACAAGGTATTTAATGTCAAATCAGTGATGTCTCCCAGCCGTGTTTGCTGCTCCAGGGCAGTGCTACACTGAAATTCCTGTTCAATCCAAGCATGCCCTCATCCCTCTGCCATCCCAGCAGCCAAACAATCTGGGAATGACTGGTTTTTATTTCTCTCTACACTTTCCATTACTGCCTCCTCAAAGGTTGTGCTGTAAAAACAGATGTTAAGTCTGCCATCCCCTCCTCGTACTGGTGTTGCTAAAAAACAACCAGTCCATTCCCAAATGGGGAGAAATCCCAAAAGAAAAAGGATTTCTGGTTGCAGGGAAGCTGCCAGGATGGAGAGCAGGAGTAGCTTTTTGTGCTGATGCTTCTTGTGCACTGTGGGTGTTTTGAGTTTCCTGTTAACCTTAAGCTGCTGCTGAGATGCAAGGGAAGTTCTCCCTCATGCTGACATTGAAATGGGTTAATGCTGAGAAATGAATGTCCTGCTTTAGCTGGGCATTGCTTCCCTTCCCTCAGTATCCCTGTGTGCAGCTGTGTGTGCTGGATACAGCTCTGGCATCCTGCTCCTGTCCCCCTGTGGGGTGTTGCTCATTTGAGAGCAGCAGAACTGTTTCAGTTCAGGTTGCCTCTCAGGCAGTGGGTTGTTCTCACGTGGTGCTGTAGCTTTACACTGGCAGAAACTCACAGAATTTCTTTTGGTTTTTTTTTTTTTCTTTCCCTCAGCAGTTTGGTATTCACAGAGCAGCGTCGGCCCTGCACAGAGCCCGGGTGGTGCTGAGTGTTGGGGAGATCCTGCAGACCTGCTGCTTCAACCACACTGATAAAGTCTCCAGGCCTCTTCCTTGGGGGGGTGAATCGTGGTGTGATGGTGCCTTTTCCAAAAGCAGGGTCAGACAGGGAGCAGGGAAAGGTCAGGACCATGACCCTTGCTGTCAGTACTGTGTACACATGGATCCTTTCCAGCTCCTTGATGGGAAAACCTGGAGCTGAGGACTCGCCTTGTCCCTTGAAAGGACAAGTGGAGCTGGGAGGCAGCACCCCACCACAGCAGCAGTTTGGGAAGTGGGAACCTTCCAATCCTCTCTCCAAATCCCCTCCAGGGACTGGCACTGCTGAGTGGCCCTGAGGTGGCCACAGCTCTGTGGGAAGGGGGGTGGTGGGCAGAGGATGGGAAATGGGTGGAGAGCAGAACAATGCAGAGGGGCAGGAGGGATGGAGTTTGTAATTGTGTGTTTCTCATTAGGACTTTGGTTTCATGCTCAAAAGTTTCAAAAATCAAACTGGCACAAAATGGTGTAATAGCTAAAGACTTGTCTGTGCTCTAGGAAGCTTTTCTCCTGTGTGACACAATACCCCAGCTGGTGTTTGCACTGAGACCAAAGTGTGGATCTGGACTCCTCGGAGACTGAAATGAGGGAATTTATCAGCAGATAGCAGGTGAGTGAAAATAGGTGTCATCTGTGATGGGACTGTGACTTAGAGTGATTGATGTGATGGCTCCTGTCACTTTGTTTGGCCAAACATCCCAAGCCTGGAACTTGGGGTGTTCAGGAAGAATTTCTTCATGGAAAAGGCTGTTCAGCATTGGAAGGGGCTGCCCTGGGGAGTGATGGAGTCCCCATCCCTGGAGGTGTTCAAGGAAAGACTGGACATGGCACTCAGTGCTCTGGGCTGGGTGACAAATGGGGATTAATCACAGGTTGGTCTTTGTTTGAAAAGACCTCCCAGACCATCAACATGACTCTGTGCTTCTGTTTTATGAAGGATCCATGCTCTTCCCTGCTGTGGCTTTGTGGCTTGCTGTGCCTGGGGATCTCCCTGCTCCTCTGACAGCTACAGGTGTCCATGGGGATTCAGGTCTTACCTTTTCCAGGAGGTCAAAATTGCTGTGTTAAGGCTTGGCTGGAAAAATGAGCACAAATCAAACATAATCCATGACCTGGAGTGAGTCTTCCTGCTTAACTCTTGGGCTTTCTGGTAAAGCATCTCCACGTGCCTCAGAGGCAGGCACTGAGCAAATAAAAATGCATCTGCTCCGTGAGAAAGGCTTTATTTCTCTTCTTCCACACAAAGTGCAGTGCTGCTTTATTGTTCCTTAAACACAGCTTTCCTTTTATGAGCCATAAACGACGTTCAGGTGTAGCACAGTGACTTTAAATCAGCTCCTCTGGCATTATGCAGATAATGTACTGCAAGAAACACCCAACTGGCCCCTTTCTCCTTGTGCTAATTCATGGTTTCAGCGCTGCTGACTTTAGGTACTCTCCTTTCACGAGTTCACTGAGCATAAAAGCCAGTTAAAATTCCTAAGAAGCAAGAAATAACTCAGCTGTGAGCAATATTGGAGCATGTGGGGGCGGGGGCAGCACTGCCAAACCCAGCTCCTAACTCTTTCTGAGACTTCCTCCATGTCAAGAGGGGAGCTGCTACTTTAGAAAGTGAATGGGTATGGGGCTGGGGATGTGCTGGGGATGGGTTTTGGGGGGAATTGGTGTGTGCAGAGCCCAGGGTTTGCTTTTAGCCTCCCTGCTCCATGAGGATGTGTGGCTGAAGAGCATCTGAGGCAGAGCCTGCTCCGACTTACACCCCGGATTTACAGTAGGATAATGCTGCTGGTTTAAAAGGAGCTCTCTGGGGTTTATAGGGCTTTTTATAAGCAGGATCGGGAATTTCAGACATAATCCTGTGCAAATGTATGGGTGTGAGTGGTGATGTGTGCATCTGCATGGCTAATGCAGAGTAATACCCACATCAGCCAGAGCTCAGAGATGAAATCACAGCAGCACAGCAGAGGATAACCATGGCAGTTTGCTCCCACAAGAGCACTTGCATTACAGGGTTATAATGGGATTCAAACCAGGCTCCCAAAGATCCTGGCATGGATAAGCCAGCTGTAAGTCTAAAACATGTGGCTGACTCTCCAACATCCAGTGCCATGAGAAAAATCAGCCTCCTTCCACTTTGGTAGTTACTGTTTGAAAACAATTCTTTTTTTTGTTCATAGAAGTCTCGATCTCTTTGTTTTTATTACATGAAATACATGCGAGGCCTTAGCTAAAGGAAATGCTGTAATTTAAAAATTTAAAAAATGCTATAATGTAGTACCAACATCCCAGTGATATGAATCCAGGGAGACCCCTCAATCCTAAAATACTGAGCAGGATGGCACTGGAATGAGCTTTTTGGGGTTTTTAACTTACTAAAAAGGTACAAGAAAGCACTGGGAAACCAACCAGACCCTCTGCAGATGATGCTTCTTGTCATCCTCTGGTTTGAAGCCAACTCTGATGATGGATGGTGCCTCTTGCCTTTAGGTTAAGGGGGGAAAAAAACCCCAAGCCCCTCTCGTGTTTGCTGTCTGTACAGTGCTATTTCCAGACTAAAGAAAAAGAGTTAAGTTACATTTTAGCAGAACAATACTGACAACAGCAAAGGTCAGGAAACTCTTACGTAAGGTCACCCTATCGATTGCAGCAGTGAAAGGAGAGACATCAAATACTTGGCCGTGAAAGGCTGAAAAGCAGTAAATTCAGCATGAGATATTGAAACCCAAGCCTCTTTCATATGTGGCAGAGCCTCTGACATAGCAGGTTTACTGTTCAAGCTGAGATATGTTGCCTTGCCAACATACATTCTGAGTTACCCAAGCAGATTTAATGTTTTTGCAGTGGTGACTTTTCCCCTTTTTTTTTTTTTTTGGGTTGGGGGGGAGGAAGGCTTTTCTTTTTCTTTTCAAAAAAGCAAAAAATTGTTGCAGAAGATTTCAAACCTACCTAGGAAATGACCTTAATCAATTTAGTTCCACCGATGAGTATGAAAACTCGGATCTTTCTTTTTGCTTTCTCTGAACATTGTCCTGCCCACATTGAGCGGGGTGACCGAGTCACAGCTTGAGAGAAAAGTGTGTTTTGTTTGTTGTTTTGTTGTGGGCTTTTTTTTATCCATCCAAGTGGCAGCTCTGTTGTGTCCAAAAGGATTGACGTGACTGACAAGTGTTTTGAATTTCTAAGCTCTGAGGTCTCCGAATGCATGAAAAGCGAGTGACACACACATAAAAATGTAAATCTTTGGAAAACAAGCACCAACTACACACAAAAAACATAACAATTCTGCAAAAGGGTGACAGACGCTGCATTCATTCTGAGGGGTTTTTTTTTTCTTCCCTCCCTTTTTCTTTTTTATAAGCCAGTGTTTCTGGGCCACCTACAGGCACATTTGTGTGTCCTGCAGTGGGGAATTGCGATGCACAATAAGACAAAGTCATGGCTGTGTGTCAGGGTGGGTCTGGCTGCAGCTCCCATCGTCACCAGCTCGCCAGGATCCCTTCCCATCAGCTCCATGGCCATCGGGGTCACTCCCTGGATCTTCATCCAGCAGGCACACAACTCTCCAATGTCCTCATTATCTGGGGCCTGGGCTGTGGGAGTCTCCCAGGGGAGTGAAGGCACTGGGCAGGGCTGTGCCTCTCACTCTGGGCATCCCTGGGAGTGCTGTCCAAGCCCTCCTGGAGCTCTGGCAGCCTCAGGGCTGTGCCCATGCCCTGGGCAGCCTGGGTCTTGTATTTGGAGGGTGCCCCGTGGCAGGAAGGAATGAATCTGACTCCATCTTCTTAAAAGGCTGATTTATTATTTTATGATGCTATGTTATATTAAAGAATGCTATACTAAACTATACTAATGAATACAGAAAGGATACAGACAGAAGGCTCAAAAGGATAATAATGAAAACTTGTGACTCTTTCCAGAGCCTCGACACAGCTGGACCCTGATTGGCCATTGAGTCAAAACAATTCGCATGAAACCAATCAAACAAACATCTGTTGCATAAACAATCTCCAACCACATTCCAAAGCAGCAAAACACAGGAGAAGCAAATGAGATAATGATTGTTTTCATTTTTCTCTGAGGCTCCTCAGCTTCCCAAGAGACGAATGCTGAGCAAAGGGATTTTTCCAGAAAATGTGACTGCCACACCTGGGCAGTGCCCAGCACCCTCTGGGGGAAGAACTTTTCCCTGATCTCCAGCCTGACCCTGCCCTGACACAGCTCCCTGGCATTCCCTCCTGTCACTGGTCACCATGGAGAGCCCACAAGGTGTGAGAGGGAAGGAAAGGCACATTTCAGGGCTCCCAAGCAGCAAGCTGGCTTCTCCCTTCTTCCAGGCATCCCATCACAGCCTAACCACAACTCACTGTCCTGGGCAAAGACTGTTCAGCTCAGGGTTATCCGTGACAAGCACATGGAGTTACTCCAGAGAGCATTTTAATCCATTTATTCAATCCTGGTAACATATCTGAGACCAGAGCACCTGAATGCAGGATGTGACTCCATGGAGCAGCCCAGGAGCCCTCTGTGGCATGGCCCTGCTCCCTCCTGGCTCTCTTTTCCCTTGTGGCAGGATCAAAGATGTGGGAGTGCTGCACTGTGTGGCCCTTGGTGACACAATCTGGATCTCCTATCCCCAGCTTAGCCACCCTGTTCCAGGGTTGGCTGGAACCTCAAGGTCGTGCCTTTGGTGGGTGGCAGTTTTTATAAAGAGGATTGGTGGTGGGGAGAGAGGTTTCCTTCTCATTTCCCATCCTGTCTGGCCTGGTGAATGCCACGTTGTGGTTGAGGGGTTTGAGAGAGCAAGGGAAGCAGTCAGCTGGAAAGGCCAACCCCACAGCTTCCCCTCAGTTCAGCTCCAGTGTTTCCTCATGGCTGCTTTATGGGAAGTTGGCTGGCACAGGAGAATCCATACCTTCCCTTTGCACTCCATCCATAAAACACCAGCGGGTTTTGGATTCCTGCTTCCAGCAGAGAATAGCCCTCATTGTACTGCTGGAGAATAAAACAGGAGAGGGAGAGGGAGACTCTTCCCCACTCAGGCTCTGGCTCCCTTGGCTCAGAGGCAGCTTTGCTCACCCACGTTTGATTTTTGGCATCATTCAAGGATTTCTAAACCTTGCCTGAGTTGTGGAGCAAATGCCAGGCATTCTTTGCTCAATCTCATTATGGGATGAGGGTGATGGAGCCTAGGAGATCCCTGGGGAAGGATGGAAAGTGGATTTTTCCATCAGCAGCCCTGGTATTTTGCTCTCTTCCCCGGGCACCATCTCAGCTCCTTTGTACCTGGTGATCTCTTGGCCCTGCTTCTGCCAAAGATTCTTCAGGATGAAAGCCTGGATTTCAGGCTGGAAACTCCCAGACAGGTGAGGACCCTGTGTGTCTGAGAGGGGTGAGTGCTTGGCTCAGCCCCTGGAAGCCTGGATGCAAACCTGAAGTGCATTAAACCTTCTCCAAGAGCGGGAGGTGTTCACACTTTGGAAAGCTCTCAGAGCTTTCCAGTGTCTGCTGCTTCCAGTCAGGCTGGAATCCAAAAGTGCAAAGGCTCGTGAAAGTGATTAATAAGGAACAAAAACCAGACCCTGAGACAGGTTCAGCTCCACAACAGCTCTGAAATAGTGGGCTTGCAGCACTCTCGTGCTTTCCTCAGGTAGGTTTTCTCTTGGAGAGCTGGAAATCCATTTTTCACTCTGCATTCACTTCCAGGTGCTGTTTGTATGAGAGTGAGGAATGTCTCCAGGTGTAAAATGTCTCCAGGTGTAAAATTTGCAGAGTCTGCTGGCATCTGTGTCCTGCACTCCTTAACGTGGCTGCAAAGTCTGGTGCAGGCAGTTTGGGGAAGTGAAGGGGATTTGCTTGCAGGGTGGGGAGTGCCCCTGTACACGTGGCCTTCTCCCTGAGCTTCCCATAGATCTGGTGACAACCTCTTTTCCCTGAAGCCACTGAGAAATTCCCAGGCACCTCTCAGCCTGGATTTCTTCCCATGAAGTTTCTGGATTCCCCTCTGCCCTGTGAGACCACAGCTTGTTGCCTGTTGGGAGGGAGAGGCTATTTCCATTTGTGCCAAGAAATGTCTAGGCAGGAAAAGATGCCTTTGGGGGTGGTACAACCCCAAGGATGAACTGCTGTCACACAGACTGTGAAAGGAAGCACCAGAAATATTGCTTGGGATCTCACAAATCCCTTCTCCTTTCCTTTGGGAAGTGACCAGCCCTTTCCAC